TACTACTAAATCATATGAGTCAGTTACTGACTTACATTATTCTTAGCAAGGGAACGTTGGAGTAAATAACTACACTTGACCTACATATTCAGAAATTCACAATGCTCTTCAAAAGACAGATACAAAAGACAGAGATACACATCCCTTAAATGTTTCACTTAGTTGCCATGGAAGACCCAGCTTCTTTGGTCTTGTCTTCACCCTTAACCATTATAAGTTGCCCCATGCTGTGAGTGATGTTCCTGCTGTAGACTGTTATTCTTTCTCTGAAGTATAGATTAAAAACAACTGAGGTTTACTGAACTGTTAAGACAATAGATACATCACCTTTTCATAAAGAATGACGTGACACGCGTTCAAAAGAAGCACTGTGCTTTCATGGAGTCAGCTGGTAAAATGTTTGTTGCCAGCCTCAGATGGTAGTTCACTAACCTTGATTTATTCCCTCAGGAAAATACAAGCTCTCTTTGAAATATTGCCAGTATTTTATCAACTTTTCTTACGTGACTCCTTTTCTTATTGTAGAATATCTTAGAATAGTAGTTGTTTTTCATCCCTCTCCCAGCAGTGTCCAAGTAATTGGCCAGAGTTCAGTTGACTGCCCCTAGAATATGTATTAAAATTTTAGTTTCCAGAATTAGAATGAGAAGTTTCAGATTGGGATACCAGAAGGTGGGCATACTTGCCTTAAGTAACCTTAGCCAGTTATCTGTACAGAAATGTAAGATATTCTAGAAGTGAGTAAGAATGTATTTTAGTTTAGAGGATTATTTAGAATTATTTATAATTCTTAAAAATATAACTTTTTTTCATAAAATATAGAAAAGTATCCCTGTTGTATTTGAAGACTGATATCTTTGAAAATTACTTTATTGAATGGATATATAAAATGTGGTACATTTACACGATGGAATATAACTCAACAAGTAAAAACAAAGAAATCATGAAATTTGCAGGGAACAAGAAAAGATCATCCTTTGTGAGGTATCCCAGAAGCAGAAAGACACATATGGTATATACTCACTTATAAGTGGATATTAGCCATATAATGTAGGATAAACATACTAAAATCTATAGTCCTACAAAAGCTGAACAATAAGGAGGACCCTAGGGAAGATAGTTAATCATCATTCAGAAGGGCAAACAGGATAGACATCAGAAATAGAAGACAATGAAAAGGACAGGAGCCTTCCACAGGGGACTTCTGAAAGACTCTACCCACGAAGGTAGCAAAGGAGGTACTGAGACTCAAAGCCAAACTTTGGGCAGAGTGCAGGAAACTTTATGGAAGAAGAGGGAGATACAAAGACCTGGAGGGGACAGGAACTCCACAAGGAGAAAAACAGTAAGTAAAAAAAACCGGGCCTATGGGGTCCTGCTGAGACTGATACTCTAACCAAGGATCATGTATAGAGATAACCTAGACTCCCTGCTCAGAGGAAGACAATAGGCTGCTCAGTTTCCAAGTGGGTGTCCTAGTAAGGGGATCAGGGACATCTCTGACATGAACTCAGTGGCTGGCTCTTTGTTCACCTCCCCTTGGAGGGTTGGGGGGAGGTAGCCTTGTCAGGTCACAGAGGAAGATGATGTAGCCAACCCTGATGAGACCTGATAGACTAGGGTAGGATAGAAAGGGAGGAGTTCCTCCCCTATTAGGGAACTAGGGAAAGGACATAGGGAGAGAAGGGGGGGGTGAGGGGGACAAGGAGGAGATGAGGGAGGGCTACTGTGGGATAAAAAGTGAATAAATGCTAATAAATAAAATAAAAATTACCTTATTGATACTCATTTTTTGCTTGCTTACTGATTGGTTTACATGATAATTTTCTGCACATTAGGCCTACAAAACTAAGAAATTCAATCAGCAGGACTTGTTAATTTGTAAAGTAGAAAGGAGTAGTAATGTGCATATTCAATAAAAGTAGTTTTATTGTTCATTGAATTTTCACCCTTTCCTCATTTTTTTTTTTTTTCTTAAATTTGGTCTTCCCTTGTACTGTTGCAGGTTTTTGTTTTCCCCTTTTCTCCCAGTCTTACTGAGATGCTTGGTTCAAATCCAGAACCTTGCACATACAAAGCAGAGTGAAAGAGTGTTTGCTCTTTCACTGTCCTACATCCTTACATGTCTTATGTGCTATGTGTAAATCTTCAGTGAGCCTCTGGGCCAGATTTCTCCTTTCTGTCTGTCTGAGCAGTGCCATAATGGTGCAGAAAAATGAGTCTACATACAGCATTTTGAGGATTATTTATATGTCTTAAAACTTCTGGATGTTTTTGGATTTGATTTGGAAAATAAGGGATTATTGTACTGTTTCTGTAAGTGTTGATGGGTAGTCTGCAATTTTAAGTATAGGGATCAAATACTTGAGTTAGTAGCAATACAAGGTGAGAACAATTCAATGCAATGTAGTGGATCAGTGAGAATTTCTATAGAAAATTTAACTTGGATTCCTAGACCTGTAGATGGAAGGGCACTTCATCCACAACAGAACTTTAAAGTGATAAATTTTATATTTATGTTTATTAAAACATAGAAAAATAAGATAGGTTTAAATCAGCCTGCACCTCCCTTTCTTTCTTCCTTCCTTTCTCTGTCACAAAGATGTGACCGGCATCTATGAATACTGATGAATTCAGGAAAACTCCTAACTAGACGGTATCTTGACAGTTGGTGGACAGATGCTCCTGATTTGAGTGTGAGACTGAGGTATTCAAAAAGCACTTCAAAACACTCCTGTGCCAGCCAACATTATTTTTCTTATATTAGGATAGCATTTTTAAAGCTACTTTGTAATAATGCTTATTGATAAAGAACCTGCTAATAGCTGGATAAATGATTTATAGTTTATTTTGAATATAGCAACATGTAGTCACCTTTAAAAAGTCCCCTTATATATATATATTTTTTAAATTTCTTTTTTATTTTTCTTATTAGTTACATTTTGTTAACTCTGTATCCCAGCTGTATCCGGCTCCCTTATTCCCTCCCAATCCCACCCTCATCTCCTCCCTGCCCCTTTCCAAGTCCACTGATGGCGGGGGGTGGGGGGGAGACCTCCTCCCCTTTCATCTGACCCTGTTTTATCAGGTGTCTTCAGGACTGGCTGCGAAGTCCTCCTCTGTGGCCTAACAGGACTGCTCCTTTCTTGGAGGGTGGGGAGGTCAAAGAGCCTGCCATTGAGTTCCTGTCAGAAATCGTCCCTGTTCCCCTTACTATGGGAAACCAATTGGTTACTGAGCTACCACGGGCTACATCCTAGCAGAGGTTCTAGGTTATATCCATACATGGTCCTTGATGGAGTGTCAGTCTCAGAAAAGACCCTGTGCCCAGATATATTTGGTCCTTGTGGAGCTCCTGTTCTTTCCACATCATACTAACTCCCCCTTCTTTCATATGATTCCCTGTACTCTACTGAAGATTTGGTTATGATTCTTAGTATCTGCTTTGAAACACTGCTAAGTAGAGTCTTTCAGATGCCTTCTGCGGTAGACTCCTGTCATACGTTCAGTGCACATCCCATCTGTCTTTCTAAATGAGGATTGATCCCCTTTTTATATCTTAATACTTAGAAACTGATTTTTTTTTTTTAAGAAAAGAGAGGGAACATGTATCGCTCACATTGTACCATGCATACTTTAAATGAAAATAGCAAGTGTTGAATGAAAAGTAGTTTTTGAAAATTTTGGAGAAGTTATTCAGGGCTGGGGCTGTTGGTCACTTGGTTGAATGCTTGTCCAGCATATCCAACGGCCTGGGTTCAGTTCCTTGTACCACATAGAGACAGCAGTGATGCAGTATATCTGTGATCCCTGTGCTTGGGAGGTAGAATAAGTAAAAAAAAAGATTCCCAGGTTCAAGGTCATCCTCAGCTACATAGCACATTCAAGGCTAGGCTGTGCTGCATGAGACCATCTCTCAAAAATGAAAATAATTCTCCAAATTTATTTCTTTTATTTGAGACCTATTACCTCTCTAAACAATTGCTTTAATAATTCTCACATCTAATTTAATACCATATTTGAGGTGTGGCTTGTCATATTTTTCCTCCTTAGTCAAAGGTTAATTGAAACAAATCTTTATATAATATTTCTACATTGAGAAAGATCTTTTTCTAGTAGAATTGGGAAGTTCTTCTATGGCTCTCTGTTTTATAATTGTTGTGTGTGTGTTTTAATGAAGTCATTTGTTATTTCTGTTTGTAGTACAGAGACCTTTGACTTTATTGTATGCATTTATTTATATGCATGTCTGGGGGACATGTGCATACCAAGGCACATACCTGACACAGTGTATGTGTGGAGGTCAGAGGACAGCTTGTAGCATTTAATTCTCTCCTTCCACCATGTATATCCCAGCTATAGCCCCCTCCCTCATCCCCTTTCAGTCCCACCCTCCCTTCCTCATCTCCTCCCATTCCCCTCCTCAAATTCACTGATAGGAGAGGTCCTCCTCCCCTTCCCTCTGACCCTAGCCTATCAGGTCTCATCAGGACTGGCTGCATTGTTTTCCTCTGTGGCCTGGTAAGGCTTGCCCCCCCCCCCCCTCAGGGGGAGGTGATCAAAGAGCCAGTCACTGAGTTCACGTCAGAGACAGTCTCTGTTCCCATTACTAGGGAACCCACTTGGACACTGAGCTTCCATGGGCTGCGTCTGTCCAGGAGTTCTAGGTTATCTCCACAAATGGACCTTGGTTGGAGTATCAGTCTCAGCAAAGACTCCTGTGCCCAGATTTTTTTGGTTCTGTTGTTCTTGTGGAACTCCAGACCCTTCCAGGTCTTTCTATCTCCCCTTTCTTATATAGGATTCCTGTACTGTGCTCAAAGTTTGGCTATGAGTCTCAGCATCTGCTTTAATACCCTGCTCGGTAGAGTCTTTCAGAGGCTCTCTGTCGTAGGCTCCTGTCTTGTTCCTTGTTTTTACCTTCTTCTGATGTCCATCCCATTTGCCTTTCTGAATGAGGAGTGAGCATTTTACCCAGGGTCATTCTTCCTTAGCTTCTTAAAAATAAGGAACGCTTCACAAATTTCCATGTCATCCTTACACAGGGGCCATGCTAATCTCTGTGTCATTCCGATTTTAGTATATGTGTTGCCGAAGCAAGCACTGTTGTTATTTCTGATTTACCTTTTCCAACAGCAACAGGAAGTTTATGTAGTGTTACATTAATATCTATGCCTATAGCATATAGCTCTTATATTCTGTGATTTTAAGAATATAGAAGTAGTTAGGAATAGTACTGGAATAATGCATTTTACAGGGTTATTCTCTTTCTATCATGTAAGGAATAATAAAAAGCTTGCTCAGGACTGTATTGTTGGCAATCTTATTTTTCATTTTATTGTTTTATCGAAAATATTTCGTGATTTTATATGCTTACTTTCCTGAGATACTTATTGTGAGGTTTTTAGAAATGACTGAAACAACTGGGAAAATGTAAGAAGTAAAAGGGCTGGGCTGTTAGCAGTTTGATTGGCCTCAAATTATTTTACCCTTCAATGTTCATCTGTGCTGCAACTTAAAGATACTCATATTTTGGGGCTGGAGAAATGGCTTAGAGGTTAAGAGCATAACCTTTCTTCCCAAAGGTTATGAATTCAATTCCCAGCAACTACATGGTGGCTCATAGCCATCTGTAATAAGATCTGGTGCCCAGGCACACATGAAGGCAGAATGCTGTATGATTGATAAATAAATATTAAAAAAATACTCATATTTTGAAATAGTGTCTCTTTAGTTGGTTTCATTTTTATTTTTTGCAATATTGTGATGGCTACCAATTCTGTAGTTTTCTTAATGTATCCCCTAGATACAAACAAGTCAAGTCAGATTAAGACTTTGGGATAAAAATATTGTAAAATTTTATGTAATGTGATAAAACATGATTAGACTTAATTTTATGTTTTTTGACATTGATGATTTAATACTTATATCGAAATATCTTTTTAAATAGTTAATTTATGCATAAATTTTGTCTTAATAGAAAAATTTAAGAGAATGATCTCTACCTATGTCCCTGCCTCCCTTTTAAATATACATAATATAAATATACATAATATTTTTAATATATACATAATATTATATATATATAATACAAATTTATCATTTTAATACTTTTTAATCATATAGATGCTTTCATTTGTTTCTCGTCTGTCATGAGGTCAACAAAATTAAGGATGAATCTGGAGACTTATAATTGATGTTAGTATAGTCAGGATCGGCTAGCCATTCATTAAGTTTATTTGTATCTTCAACTTTTACTTAAAGTTTTTGCTGTTTCACAGTCTATACTGTCTTCCAGTCACTTGGAAGTTAGGTGTAATTGTTATTCTGAGTTTTAGCTATTGAAATTTGAGGAGAGATAATGAATATTAATCTTGGCTCAAAAAAACTCCTGTGTTTAATCCTCTTTGTATTTTTTTTTTCTGAATACAGTCAGGGAACCAAGGAAATGGCAGAGCCTTTAGGAAGACCAAGTCTATGACAAGATGATCTGTTTTGCCTAACTTTAGCCAAAAGCTTCTGCTAAGCCACTGAGATCTTTTTGTTAGTCAGACTTTGTCATTGTGACAAATACATGAAAGAACAACTTAAAAGTATAAAACATTTAATTTGCCTTACTTTTTCTGAGGCTTCATTAGTTAATAGCTAAATGAATCCATTGCTCTTGGCCTCAAGTGTAGCAGAATATTATGCCAGGGGCACGAGGGCTCCTACCTCATATCACATAGCCAGGAAAGAGAGAGAAAAAAGACAGTTAAAAGATAGACCTTTTCAGGCTATATCAGAAGTCGTACTTTATTCATGCAGCCCCTATCTCCTGCGGCTCACCACCTCCCAGTGATGCTATCATGATGTGAATTCCTCAGAGAAACAAACCATTGGGTAGGTCTGAGCCCATCAACTGGCAGCCAAGTCCACTGTACGTGAGCTTGTTGAAACACATTTAATATTGAAACCATAACACTCAAGCAGCTAGTATTACCTTCATTAATTCATTCAACAGTACTTAGAATGAATATATTACTCAAAATAGTTCTTTTTGTTTAGAATGGAATTAAGAGTCAGAAAACAAGCTTGGATTAGAAAGTAAGAAATTAGGTATGGCTCCATTCAGAGGAGGAGTCAGTGTGGAATTCACTGACAGGAAATGAAGGATAGGAAGAAAAAATTATCTGTTGTGGTATAGAGTTGTTTTAAGAAAATCTTAGAGGTAGTGAGTACTGTAAACTTGTACAGGAGAACGATTCTTGGGAATTGGAAAAATGGAATCTTATGAATAAGAAAATCTAGTCTCTAAGAATTATATAGATTTTAAACAGTATTGGTTTGTTAAAATGGAAATTTGTTATATTGTACATATAGTTTGCGAGTATAAGTTTGCTTATGGTAATGACTATCAAAGTATTTGTGATATTCAGAAAACATGGGAGTGGCTGATGGCTAAAGAAACAGAGTTGCAATCCTATAGTGTAAGTTGAAATTTGCACTCATTACTTGAATTATTTCTCTACTGAGCCATTCTCTAAGGTATAGGAATGAATTCTGATATTACTTCTTTGTGTATATAAAGTTGAATGACTTGCATTCCTATAATACCTAAACATAGGTAATATTTACCTTGTATTTTGAATGTATGAAACATCGAAAAGAATATTTAAAAATTAATCTGCTCATTTTACTAAAATTTACTCTTTATATTAAAGCATTTAGAATTTAATGATTTGGGCATCAAAATTGGATTTAATCAGATGTTAAAAGCAAAAAAGTAAATTGTGTTTTAGATTGCTTTTAAGATCGATAAGAACTATAAAATTTGGGTTGGATGTGAGCTCTTCAGATTGAATGCACCAATGATGGGTTTGTAGATATGCTAACCAAAATTTAAATCCTTGGCAAAATACATTGTAAATCAAGTACACGTGAACATTTGGAATTGCTGCTTTTTGTCAGGTAGAGTTGTTCCTGCTTCCAGCCTTCTAACAGGCTCTAGTCTTTGAAAATTAAAAGTTGTACATACTTTAAGCACCCAGCAGTGTGGACCTCACACCTTAGCTCGCAAGCACGTTAGAGTTGGTGGCAGGGGTTGGGGTGGAGGGCATGAGTGCTGGAGAACCGCTCTGGCTTCTCATTTGCTGTGTAGTGGCATGAGGGCAGGAGAGATGCCCTCGTGTGTGCTTCCCTCCCCAACCTGTGGCAAGCCTGAAGCACTTGGGAGAGGGGGCTCTCGCCATGCCTGGGCTATACAGTGAGCAGCCCTGGTGTGGGTGGGACATAGTAAGCCTGAAAGCTGGAAAACTGATTCTGTTTCTTGATGGTTACAGCACACTGAAGAGCACTGACTGCCTCTCACCTGTGCAAAGCGGGGGAGCTGGCCCTGGTGGCACAGGGATAGGAGAGCTGATGGGCTGACCAACTCAGTTTCCACGCAGGCCCAGATCCCAGGGCTCTGAGTATGTCCGCCCTAATAGCCACCCCATAGGAACTGTTAGAGTGCATGAAGGGGCCAGTCCTACAGATCCAAAGCTGCAGGATCTCCATAACATAGAGCACCAACCGGATATCTGAGCGGAGTCTTGGTGATAATCCAATAATGAAAATGTAGCAGAAAGCAGAGGCCTGAAACCAGACCAGTGCTCGTTGCAATGGACATTTGGAAGTTTGGGAAAAAAGTACACTGTGTGACACACTGCGACATACCACAGCTTCCACAATTCGAATTTATTTTTGGTTATAATTTTAATTTTTTGTTTTCTTTTGGGGAGCAGGTTGCAAGGCCAGGGGGTGGATATGAAGAGATGGGTAGATAAATGGGATTGGGGTGCATAATGTGAAATTCATAAATAAAAAGTTAAAGAACCAATAGACAAGACTCTTCTTACAAATACACAGTAATATTAACTAAAAGATTATAAAATAAATTGTAATTGTATGACAGTCACTTGTATACTTCTGCTTTAATATTAATGTTTCTCCTGAAAATTTTATGTGAAGAACTTACCAGTAGAACTAATAGTGACTGATATACTTAAATTTGTCCTGCTTGGATGCTTTAATAGTTCTATGTAGTAGTCATACAAAACATAAATGAGCCTTTAATTATCAGCAAATTTTCCAGCTGCTAAGATACCCTTTCTGACTTGGTCCTACTCTTTACTTTTCCTCTTATCCCAACTATCCTATCCACATTACCAGTGATTGTTGCTTCATCCAAACTTAGCCCCTCTTACTTAGGTAAATTTGTCTATCCCTAGACAAACTGAATGGTGAACGTTTGACCCAAGAATTTCTAGAAGGACTAGAGGATTTAGAAGACTTAAGCAGCTAAGAGATGAAGTAAAACTTGAACATTTTGGGCAGAATTGCCAGAAGCGTTAGACATGTACTTAATGATGGAACAAAAACCTTAGAGCAAGCTAGGGAGTTGGTAGAGAGCTTGTGACTAATACTTGAGACATGCATAGAGAGATGAAACTCGGTTGGGAGAGAAATGAGAGACAGACAAGGAGAGTGATGGACACCAGACCTCATAGAGTCCCTGAACAAGACAATGGGACCTTTTCTACCAATTTCCAGATCTCCCTTGCAGGAAGTTGGGTCTATACTGCCACATGGTGCAGCCCCTTCCTTGAGTAGTGTGCTCGCTCTCTTAAAATAAGTATCTCATCATTGGCATGGTCATTACCATTATCCACTACTATTAATCAACATCCGCTTCATGGCTGAACGTTGTTCCTAGTAATCAAAAGAGTGCTAATAGAGCATTAAAGTTAAAGACAAATGTCAGGGTACATCTGTAATAAGAGGCCTGCTTTAGATACTGTGCTACATTGGATTTTTTCTCTTCTCACTGTGTTTATGTCATTATTATAATAAGCTTCTTTTTGACTTCTGACTCTTTCAGTTTGAGATCATGTGATAGATACGCTTATTGCTTAAATTGCCCTTTAAAAAAATAGAATGTAAACATTTATAGTAAGCTGGTACATTGCTCTAAATTCTACTCTAGAAGTCTGTGTGAATGTTAGCTTTCTTGCATCACAAAGTCATACATAGGCATTTATCAATAGAGTTAACAAACCAACATATCACTGCATTCTTATCTAA